TAGTCAACATTAAGGGTTTTAGGAGTTCTGCACTGGCACAATGATCACTGCACACCACAGAAGTAAGACATACATCAGTATGGAGGGGCAAGGAAAGCACCAAGCCTGTCTGACTATAATGCTGAGGGGTGGACCCAAAAGCAAGAATGCTGCTACCACATCTGCTGGAATGAAAGAAAGGTTCAAAGTTGTATGCAATATTATTCAAGATGTCCTCAAAGCTACCATTCATAATTTAATGGTAATATATCACTCTTTACAAGGAAATGACAAAAATGACTGCCTCACATTCAGGCTCCAGCTCATCAAAGGACTCACAGAAGAACAATACCTTAACCTGTATACAAGCACCCATCAGCTGAACCAAGCCCTAAATATCTCAATGAATGACATTTTTTGGAGAGGATTCCTGCCACCAGATAGAAGTCTAAACTGTAGAGACAGCAGCATGCACTGTGCTCACAACACTGGAGGAAGAAGGAAAGAGTCCAGTGGTGTCCTGATTGTGAAGCTGGCTTATCTCTGATTGGATGCTTCAGGAGTAAGTAAAAGTAAAGGTATCCCTGTAACAGGCTGTGGAGGCCCATTGGGTTGCGAGATGTTGAGGTTCCCACAGTTTTTAGACAATTGGCTCATATATGGCGGCAAGGTTGTCAGCCCTACGCGCTGGCCACCCTTTACCCCCAAAGAATATTCCAAGAATATTCCTGGTACTCATTCCTGTTAGAGGCTGAGTCGACCCCACGGCCACAGTGCAGCTGGAAGAATTAGGTCAATTAAAAAAATCCAATGACCTCATCAGGACGTGAACCCGCGACCGTCTAGCTTGTAGCATAGTGCCTCAATGAACTACACTACCACATGCACCCAGTTGCTTCAGGAGTTACCACATAAATCTAAACACATGATAAAATCACCTGACAAATTATAACCAAACTCCAATTAAATATAACAAATGTATTTTTTGACATTTCAAACATTATATAATTTTGTGCGAAGTATGAACTTGCTATCTCAAACTTTAAACTAAAAATCTTCAAATTACATTTTAACAATATTCTTGCCAGTAAAAAAACAGAGCAGGATATAATAAATAAAACTAGTGGGGAAGAAAACATGTTAGCATTCATAAGCTCTATGCAAAAATATTTACAAATAACAAAGCAATAATATATGCAATGGTATTTATGGAGGATGTAAAGGATGCATGACATATACATGGGAGGTAACAAAAATTACTTCAAGCAATACCTTAATAGCTTTATGATTACTGTTAACACCTCTGAAGCATTTAAAGTGATACTGAAACATCAGTATCCTCTGAGGTCTGGCACAAGAAAACTTGATGTGATGATTTGAACTGCTTGTTAAGTGATATCCACTTTTTTAAAATGCCTTTCAAATGAGAGAAATACTGTTGAAACACGTAGCCAAGTTGTGACTTTTAACAAAGCATTAACTACCTGAAGTTTAACAATATATGAACCATCACCACCACATCGCTTCAAACTTATTCTCATGGATACAGCCAATTTGTAAATGGCCACTGCCACAAACTCCAAAAACAATACAGGTTATGTAGTATCAAACATATTCAATGTCAACATACTACAGAATAAGCTTTAATGTCATCAAAATCTCGATATTACGATCCACCAAATAAATTCTTGGTCATGCAGATCCTTGACATTGGTAAAAAATGTTTGCTGATACGTAGAAATGTTCGGTGATGAAGAAAATCGTCTTATTTAGTTACTACCTGGATGGCTGTGTTAGCTCACTTGGCAACTACATAAATACATACTTTTGATACATCTTCCTACTCATGGAAAGAATGCCTAGCCAACAACTTCCACTTTCAAAGACCTTCAATGCTGAATAAGTAGGTATTCTTAGTCTAAGTTGGAAGAAATCATCAGACCACGTTTGCAAAAGCGTGCTTCATTAACTGAAGTTTACAGCTATTTTCTTTTACATTTCTCAAAAAGAAGGGGGGGGGGTTATTGATGTCAGCCAAAGCTGGAAATTCATCATTGCCTACTAACAGTGCAGACTTCTAAAATGTTTACATAGCTTTTTTTTTTAATAATTCAGATTGGCACATAACCTTCTTATGGCAAAACACTCAAGCAAAGTAAGGAGACAGAAAGTGAGCAACGAATGACATTTCAAAACTTGCTATATCTGTACACAGGCAGAATAATTAAAATGTCGAGCATCTCTCCATTACATTATACAGAATCAGGAAGAGATGAACCTCCAATATAGAGAAAATAATTTGTCTTCTTCTGTGTAGAGAAACTGTCTAAAAAAATTAATTTCATACAGTCCATTTTAAATGGCAATAGAATTATAAGAAATATGCAATGGTACCATCTCATGTAATGACTAATGAAACTATGGGATGATATAGCATTAGGAAATGAATTTTAACTTCATCTCTGCAGAGGTTATCTAGGTGCTAATGAGAATGTGACAATTATAACCAGATTTTCATTTAGAAACATTTCATCGGATTCCCTAGCACTTTCAACTACTATCCTTGGGTGTAACTGTCACAATTAAAAATGTGATTCTTTAAAGTAAATTTATATTACACTACGAGAATAAGAAAGTAAATTTATATTATACTACGAGAATAAGAAAGCATATTTAAAAGTTTATAAACAATGACTCTTCCCTGCTTGATGTGAGTGTGACTGAAGTGACCAATCTGGGGCCAAAGAATCTTCAAGAAGAGATGTGCTATATTTCAGAGTTTCTTTTACAAATTACACAAATGAGATCTGCAAGTTTTTCAGTGCACTGTAGGAAACAAAGCTGAAAATAGCAAAAATGAAGAAGGGTTACTTATATATGATTTCTCATTGTGTTCTGAACAGAAACCAAAATAAATGTGAATATGGGGGAGACTCAATGTACAGTACCAGGAACAATATTATATAAACTTTCAGTCTCAACCTGCCAATAGTTATCACCAGTCACCATGCCTACACATTCTTCACATGCTGTAGTTCAGAACTTTAATTCCTAGTACCCATTTTCATACATCCTTCCATCCTATTTAAATCCCACATAACACTATTAATTAATATTATTAGAATTTATTTTGTAAGTATAGTGTTTCTGTTTATGATCCAACATACCTACAAAACAACTTATAGAAATACTTTTTTTTAAACTTAGAGATGCCCCACATTACCACAAGAAACTTACATGTGACACTGGATAAACTAACATACACATGAAACTCATAATCAAAAGGGTCCTTTAAAAGAAAATATTACAATTCACCAATTTACAAATTATGAAATATGTTAAAACGGCTATTTTCAAAAACTCTTCCTGGAACAGTCATCAGAAAACCCTGAGTCCCCAGCAGCTTTTGATAACATGCATATTAACTACAACAAAGACTTTCATGTAACACAGTTACGCATGCGTGTGTGCACACACACACACACACACACACACANAATACTTCCTTACATAAATTAATTTATCATCTCTTCTCTCATTTGAAACCTTCCCAACCTTTCCTTACTATAGAACACAACAATGAAAGAATGTCTTGCATGAACACTGTAGTGTTTTAACATCTGCATAGCTTAGCTATCGTTAAAATATATGTGTAGTACTTCTCATTCCATAATTTTATTTAATTTATTCTTTTTGCTGGAAACATCATCATCCAACACTGAAAGGAAGGCCATTCCAACAAATTTCAATACATCTCATTTTTAAACTCCAATGATGGAAACAAACACATTTCTGAATGACTGGGGTTGTCAGATCCATGCTGTTTCAAACATAAAAAAAGAAGACAAAGGCAGTCTACATCACGAACGTGTCAAAACATTTCTTAAATCATGCGAAATGTAACAAATGTAATACTGCCTTACCAAAATTGGCAGCAAACAAGAACTAGTAACCAATCCCACATTATTATTAAATGGTTGTGTTCTTTTGTTTAAAGCATATATAAAATTTACAGAATGTGAAACAGCTCAGTCAAACAACAGCAAATACAGATGTTTCACTGTGCTTTTTCAACACATATTTTGGATCTGACACTGCTATCTTATAGTTACTTAAGCATACACTCGCCTTCTGGCATCGTCTCATCACTGCCACCACAACCATTACCATCACCACTATCATCATTATAATAATAATAATAATAATAATAATAATATTATTATTATTATTATTATTATAATTGTTGTTGTTGTTGTTGTAGAAGGACATGTCACCAATGTCCTATATTAATCTAATCACATGGCAGTTTTGTGGAACTGAATTACATGTCTCCTCCTTAGAATTAGCTGATGTGCAGTTTACATTCTGAGGACACTTTCTTGTTTTTATATTTTCTTTTTTGATTAAGAATAATGTAATTAAAAATACTTACACTTAACTATATTGGTTTCATATCCTTTACAGTGGCTGTTCAAATATTATTAAACTTCTGTATAACATGAAATGGAAACCATTTTCTTTTTGCAACTTAACACATTTTCATACCTTTGTTAGAAAAAAAGAGCAATGAAAACATAATCTGTAAATTTTATCATTTATATCCTTAAAGGAAATAAATCACCAACAGGTATGATAGTTCTTTTATATTTTGATATAAATATTATAGTTTTAAACTCTAGAATCCATCAGCCCCTTTTTCTGTCATATTCAGAAAACAATGGCAATCTGGGAACATACACATACCATCCTGTGATACAACTTTGAAACACTTGGCATAAACTTCTCATGAAAAGAAGCAACTCAAATAAAAATCCTATTAAATGTGACCTTCTTTGTCCTATCTTGTTCATTTGATGTGTGATCAGGTTCTCTAAGTCACTCAGAGCCTTTGTCCATCAATTCAAACCTTAGGTTCAATTTCACATTACAATGATGTTAAAAACAGATATAGTCTTCTTTAATTGTCACTGTATAAACATATCAGTGTGTATTTTTCTAACACACTTAGAAATATTCTAAGCTGCAGTTTTTAAGTTTCACTTTAATACATGTTTTTATTACATCTATAATGTTCACATCTTTTGACTTCGGATGGCAGAGTTTTGTAGCTGATCGTTTGTTTTATAAACATCCATTTGAGATGTTCTAATCATTAACTGACACAGCAGGTTCTCATCATGCACTTTGTGATCTCTTCTGCACCTGGCAGCGATGTTCATGTTGCAACACTTCATGCATCCACTCAGTTATTTCTATATAGGTCTTTTATCACAATCAGGTGCTTTCTTTTTTGGGCTGTACTCCACTGACTGATAGAAGTCTTCAAAATATCCACCCCAGAAAAAAAGTGCTTTTTAAGATACCCATTTGCAGTTCCTTTTTAACTTTGGGATCCATTACAATCTGCCTTAAAAGTAGCATCTAAGATGTTTTGAAAATGTTGATAACTATGGCCTGAACGAGTAAAAGATTTCAATTTCATCTGTGGGTAGGATTTGATTTTTAACAATTCTTAGAAACACACAATTATCATAATTTCTTCATTAAAACAAGAAATGAATTATCATATGAAATAAATGTAATTAAACTTACCACCAACACTTTCTGGTAATTTGCATACAAATCTAATATTGAATCAATCATTAAACCCACACCTCATGTGTGCTACAAACACTGTATTCCATGTTCACAACTGTGTACTATATACACATAAATCATCAACTTTTGTTTGGATGGAAAGATCCTCCTTACAATATGCCAACATTATCTTAAAGTCAATAAGAATTTCCAAATCTAAACTTGTTAAAACTTTTTTAAGATAATACAACCCTTATTTTTTACTTGCATACCTCCTTTAAATCAGCCCTACAAGATGTCTGACATAAAATGCAAGTGAATGGTTTCACACAAACATGCACATTCACATCACTTGTTAATGCATGAGTGCATACACATAAGCGGACACACATATGCGCACGCGCGCACACGAACGAACAAGCGCCTGCACGCCCGCGCGCATGCGCCCACACACACACACAAACACACACACACACACAGGAAGTAGCAACTCTTTTACCAATATTTCTAATAAACACAAGCAAATATGGCGTTTTCCAACTGACTTTTGAAATCCAAAAGCAATCATTGTTCCAACATGTTTTCATAACAAAGAAGGGGGGAGGGGGATCTGAGGCAAGTTTCTGTCCACAGATTCATGTTGATAAACATTAAAGACAGGGTGCTGTAGCCATTTTCAGAAGTGGAGGAGTATCCAAATGATGAATCGCCTTCCATCAGGGTTGGATTAACTAGCTGTAGTATCCATACTTTTCTCTTCTCTGAGAAGGAAGAATAATTCTGTTAAGCAGGTCTTCAATAAACCCTAATTCCAGTCTTAGAACTTTTACTTGCTGCCTTCATATTTTTTAAAAACTCCTCAAATTAATTTTTTATGTCCTTGGATGGAAAAGTCTTGTTTTAAATGTCTCAGGGTTTTAAATCTTTTAGCCTTTTATGGTTTGTGATTACTTTCAATATTTTTATGTTTTATTTCATGTCCTAATGCTTGGCTAACCCTCACTTTGCACTAGGCCCCCCATCAGAACCACCACCTACAGACACTTTCTCTCCTCCTTCTTTCATCTTCTCACAGTAATCTGCAAAGATGTCTCGGAATCGAGCCCAAGACTTCTCTGGAACTGTGATGGCCGTCCGGAAGTTAGTCTTCACCTGTCAGTGAAACAAACAAAATTTGACAAGTTTACAAATTATGAACTCCAAATTGACAAAATTATACTTCACAGAAGCACAACAGCACAACACAAATGACAGATCTATTCACTCGTCATCTCCAAACCATACTCTGTGTCAAAACTGTAAATGTGGATTTGCCTTTATCATCCAACTTCAGCATTCAATGCATGGAACTTCAACACAAGAAGACTTGATTACATGTTAAACTTTCATCCTGTGAAACCTGATTTATATAAGTAATCCCTATACTTAATTATGTAATTAAGCACTATGCCATGAAGATATATGGGGGAGTGGAGGTATAGTTCCACCATTCTTGACCTTGAGGGGTCAGCTTCGTGCTCTGCCCACTTTACTAGATAGGAGACTGGGTCAGGCCCAGAGACAGTCTGGATGTTATGGAGAAGAGGAAAACCTTACTCCTGCTGGGAATTGAACCCTGGCCATCCAGCCTGTAGCCCATTGCTATACTGACCGAGCTACCCCATAAATTCCATCTGAACCTAAAGGCAATGGTCACTGATCCACTATAGCATAAGGGGCTTATTGTATATAGTATGGTTTTCTGTGTTTTGATCTGTTAGTGGTCAGACACATGTAACTCTGTAATTATGTACATTTAGATTCATAACAGGAACCAAAACATGGGAACATAGTGAGAAATATACACTGCTTAATAGATAATTAGTGAGTAATCAGAAAAATACTCGCCAGTGTACAGGTACCAAGTAAAAGAATGCTGGTAAGAAATTAAAATCCATTGAAAATAAAAAAAAACATCGAAGTAAAATCAGTCTATATACTGTGAACTTTGAGTACGCATAGATGTTGTGTCCTAAAGAAGTTGAACAACTTGGACAATGGTGCAGCACAAAATTTAAAACCTGTGACTTCTCTTGTAAATTTTCATACCTAAGCCTCCAAAGTATCTAAATTCTATTTACATGTTTCTCTGATAATAATAGCACACCTTAAAACCATGCCTAATCAAAGAAATAAATTAGCAATGAATCAACTTCATTACAACACACATTTTCACAAAACTGGTAAAAAAAACTGTATTCTCACAACAGTCTGCCTATTGAAAGCTTTTGCATCACTGTTCAATCTGCAAGGTTTTGAACAAATCAAGTCCGTGGCTCAATGCATGGATGACTGTCAAACCACTTTTTTCAAGGTAACAATCTTAAAAAAGAATTTTGTTGGAATACTTCTAAACAAACTCCAATATAATGCAGTGCTGCTTTTGTGAGATCATACCATGTTTGAGTCTGCTTCTTCTGTAATGGCAAGTGGTTCTAAGATATGTGGGACTCCCATTACTATACACTTTGAGGCCAGCAGGCAATTAAGTGCATAATGACACTATACCAGTGGGTTAAAGAGATAAAAGTATATTTAAATTACAGTATAAATGTATCTAGTTTTTCTCTTTTTCAGCACATAAATGTGACTTTTCTTGCATGTTCTATATGGAAATATTTAACTTATGTTTAGAAACAAAACTAATACTCACTACAGTTTCAGTGGCATCTGTAAATCTTGACGTATCCATCACAGTTCTAACATTTCTATCACAATATAAACACACTGAAAGTTTACACATCAGATTCAATGAGACTTTAGCATTCCCATCGGCAGCACCAACATTACAGCCTCTCAAATCTCTGAGGCAGAACCTTAATATTGCTTCAATGCTTGTACCAATCTTCATGAAACTTGGTATGTGTATTATGCCACATGAAGCCATCTCAGTGGTGTGCATCACGAATCCCTTATATAAGTAGTACCGACATTACAGAGTGTCAAACTTTGCAATAATAACTGTAATGTAACTTAGATACCCAAGATAATCATCATGGAACTTGGTACATATATCATGCCACCCGAGACCATTTCAACAGCAAAAATCATAAATCCTTCACATCAGGAATACCAACATTACAGCCATTCAAAATGCTGAGGTAAATCCTCAATATTGCTTGAACGCTTGTACCAGTTTTCATGAAACGGTGTATATCCTGCCACCTAAGGACATCTCAATGGTGTACATCAGTAGTACCAATACTACAGCCTCTCAAATTCTTGAGATAACACCCCTTCATAAAACTTATGAATATCGGCATTCTTCATAAACCTATTCTCATCCATAACATGAACATTGCAGCCTCCAGTACGGTACTGTGTTTTTGAGAGAACATACAGTCATGTGTCTGTGACTAGATATGGAGTTTGGATCAAAAACTGGATTTACTGAACGCTTGTATCTCATAACTACAAATAACTATAACAGTCTCTTCTGTTTGTTCAGTAGCTGTAGACAAGTAGCTACTGCTAACAATGCAATTCAAGACTGACTGAATTTTCTGTCTGGTAAATTGCTGCTGGCCCTTGACAGCACAGTCATTCTTAGTTCCAAGTCCCAAGGGCCTCATTACGTTTTACTCCCTCATGACTCTGCTGCTGGTCCTTGCTATATAGCCTGGGCAATGACCACATAGAGAACACAGCATTACTATTTCTGAATCACTATCTGTTGCCGCAGAAGCGTATTTACGGCGCCGTTACCTAGCAACGGCCGCCTCTTCTTGTTCCGCTATTCCAACTTTCAGCTGTCGTGCCACAGTATGTTGTGAAAGAAGAGGAGAATGAGAAAGATAAATATTATGACTGATTCTACGCAAATACTTGCAACTTTCTTCTACAGCATTTCAAGTCAACAGAGTACAGGCCCAATAAAAAACTGTTTTGAAACAAATTATGTAGTAAACACAGATCTGAAACTTGTAAATCAAATTTATTGTGAGTATGAAGCTTCAATCACAGTTCATATCCCTGCCTGATGGTATACACCAATGTATGACTATCACAGCACTCCAATTTTGATGAGTGAGTTTCAGTAAAGCCTTTGAGGGGCTTGATAATATGAAAATGGGAAACTGATCTGGCAGTTCTTATTTCTTAAACATAATTTCTCAGGCATAAGACATTTTACAGGAGTCATGTAAGTAGTCACATTCTCAAAACCAGTTAAGGAATACAAACATAAACATCTCCCTACTACATGAAGAACATGTGAGTTTGAATACAGCCAATTAGCATAGCCTCACCCTTAAGATATAACAATATGAACTGTGTTACTAATTTTAAGATTCTAATAAAGGAGGAAATGAAACTGAACTGTTGGTTAAGCTCTTTTTACTATGATATTACAAATCTCCAGATAATTTCCAGCTCTGACTGACTGTTCTGCATAGAAATTCAAAACTGAAAGAGAAATTCAGTTCTGAGAAGTATGTAAACTGTTTTCAGCTATTATGTGTCTCGAGCACTCTACTCTAGAACACTCAGCAAAGCAGCTGTACCAAAATGGTATGTCCATTTTAACCTACAAACATAAAAATTTAATATATCTTCCTTTTAAAAACCACTGACCCACCAGGAGACTGATTATAAATTTTTCTATGCTAATGTGAATGAACTAGGGACAGGATATTTTTTGTAAATAAGGGAATCGTGCCAGCAATGAAGAGGGAACAGTTTATTAGTGATAGGATATCTGCGACCACTGAACTAGCCTAGTCCTATATGTTGAAATAGCTGGGTAAATCTGACAGGAGTTGCCCAGTGATTGAGATTAGCTCTTTCTAAGGGGCCCAACTGAGTAGGTGTCTTCCTTTCTCACCTGAAGACGGAAACAGATCCAGTTTCCAAAACGTTCTGTCCTCTGTTACCTAAAATTCTGGACGATGGAAAAAGTCCAAAACCCCAGTAATTTTGTGTGTCATCCACAATTGTCAGAACACATTAGAATCGACTTCATAATTCTAATTATACTTGGAGAAGTGAACAAGTTATGAAGCTCCTCATTATACAGTTTTCTCCAACCTCCTGTCACTTCATCTCTCTTCGGTCCAAATATTCTCCTCAACACCCTCAGTCTGTGTTCCTCCCTTAAAGTCAGAGACCAAGTTTCACACCCATACAGAACCACAGGCAAAATCATAGCCCTGTATAATCTAATTTGTATGTTTTTGGACAGCAGATGAGAAGACAAAAGGTTCGGGACTGAATGGTAGCAAGCATTACCCGAGTTGAATCTTAATTTCCTCCTGAATCGGGTTTTGATTTGTCACAGTTGTTCCTAATTATCTGAACTGTGCTATATTTAAAAGAAAATCTGTTAGCTATCTTTATGTCATAATTTTGCCCTGCATTCTGATAACAAGACAACAATATGTATTTAGTTTTCTCCATGTTTACTTCTAGACCAACATCCTTACTAAAATTAATTAAAGTCTGTGTGTTTATCTTTATGGTATCTATATTATCACCCAGCAGATTCACATCATCAACACAGACCAACAGCTCATATGTCCCATTTCATTTCAGTCCCACCTGGTTTCCTTGGACCTTCCTAATGGCACATTCTACAGCAAAGTAGAAAAGCAGTGGCAATAAAGCATCTCATTTTAGACAATTCTGGACACAAGAATTGTCAGAAAAATGTTTACCTATATGGTCTTCATGTTTCGTTCAAACGAAGCTATTACACGTGAGGGGGAAAAAAAAAAGAAGGAATATGTTAAGAAACAAATACTAAATTCCAAAGAAACAACACACAGAAACATTAAATGAATTTAAGGACAGTTACCAATCTAGAACTAATTAGCTGAAGAATGATAACAGTGATCTGCTTGCAGATTCCCTCAACATTTTGAATGTACTGTGTGTGTATTTTGGTTAGTGACATAAGGCAGACGGAAATAAGTGAAGATTTTACTTTGCTGAAAGGTTCCATGGCTCTGTGCCTCACAGTGACTGGTGCACCGCCAGTTGCAAGGTGCATTCAAATTTTGCCAATCCATCAGCATGCCTGAAAGCTGATTATATTTGGAATGCAGTAGCTACACAATTCACAGCCCACAGGTGGTGCTGAAAATGCTGTACCTCTACACTTAGATATCTTTTGCAAT